TTAATTATAGGGCTAATTCTCCACCCACAAGACGGTAGCTTGCAATAGAATAAAATAATGAAAGTATCTGTGGCCTGAGACATTCAAAATTCAAAGACATTTGTTTATTGCATTTCCAAAAGGGTGGAAAGGTTGAGACCATGTTCCTCTTCAGAGGTTATTTCTGAAACTACAAATTCTAAAACCTAATACTGAAATACTTCTATCCGAAACAGAAATATGTAGTCAAATTTATTACACACTTCTAAGGGCTTGACCCAAAAAAATGTTCACCCAATGGCTGCTAGGCCATAAGAAAGTGCAAGGAAAGCCTTTGGGGCTGTACAGCTGCAAGACAGATTTGCATATTGAGAGATGGGTGAGGCTCGTTGCAAGGTTTTTTGCAACACCTTCTTTAACTAAAAAACAAATAAAACAAAACAAAACAAAACTAACTTCAGAGCTGGAGATTTCACTCAGGTCTTCTTTGGAAGTTGTTCCTAACATAAAAATTCTAGGGAAAATAGAAGAGGAAAAAGAATTCCAGTACAGTAAGGATGGTGCTATGTCTCATTCAGATTAAGGGTTCTATCTCTAGGCAAATTCCCTGACAACATACCCTGGATTATTGTGAAAGAAAGAATGAAACCAATGGGGTGTAATGAAAGGCAAAGACACAGAGACAGTTTGTCCATCTCTTCATCTAGAAGTGTTATCCCATATAAATAATTTAATATTTATTAGCACAAAAGCTCAAATCTGAGTTCTCTGCATCCTGACTGATCTTATAGTCATAAAAATTTATGAAAAAAATTTTTAAACCAGATAAAATCGAGTCAATTGTATCAAGAAAAAAGTCAAATAAAAAACCTAGCGTTTGCCACTTGCTAGGAAACATAGCTCGAGTAACCCAAACTCATTTGCTTGGATAAAAGGAAAAATCTGAACACACTCATCTTCCCTCAACAAAAAGGCCCATACCTGTCTGTGTCAGGATATCTAGGTTTTCTTTGCACTTTCTGAAAAGATATCTTTTGTATTCCCCATTGCTGGACAAAAATGGCTCCAAAATATAGAAGGCACCCATTAAAAATTGATTTAAAATTATCTTCACAGCTAATTGAGTCTCCTCCCTGTCCTATCCACATGGTGTTTAACTCTATCAATATTGCTACTTTTTACTCCTATATTAGTTGCTTATAAAGGCGGTCTTCAAAGATTTGAGCAGCACAGCAACAACTGGACACAGTTGTGTTAATGCTGATGTATAAATCAAATCTGCCAAGCAGCAACCTCAAACCAAGGGCAAATGGTAAGAAGTCCTATTAATATCAAGTCATTGTGGCCCACAGGCAGAAACGGAAAGAATAATAAAGCAAAGCAAAATCTAGAAAATCCTCACCAGGAACAACTGGCTAGTAAGAACAGTATCTTTGAAGACCATATTGTTATGGTTGGGGTCAATATCATTAGCTTAACTACAGTTCTAGATATTTTTTTCTTTTTACTCACCCTCATAATTTTCTCAAGCTTAAGAGATTAATTTACTAAAAGATGACATCTTCTGTCTTCAGTACATATCCTGCCACATCACTGCACATATTTCCAGATACACTTGTGAAGACTTATGTTTTGGATTTTCTTAAATTGTATAAAACACCTATGGAACTTGGAGGAAGCAAATAATGATGCAGCATTAGACTGAAACTGCCACACTAGGTTACCTTTAACAGACTGCTTCAGCTGTAGCTCAGAACATTCTGAGCACAAAGTAAGAAACAAGACAGGCCTACAGTACTTCGATTATGTTTGGGTTTTGGTGGCTTGCTGGTGTTTGTTTTTTGTGTGCATAAATATGGGCATTTTCAAATTTCTAATTTTCTCTATCTGTTCAGACACCCTCACTGGGGCCTTTGTCATGTCCATTCTCTCTTTTAAATAATGTAAACTTTTAATAGTTAGGACTATGCTAGTACAGCACAAACTTTTATATACCAGGAACTTGAAGGCTGATGCAGACAACAGTAGTGTTCAGATTTTTCTCCTCTCTCAGTTCAGTTCTGCTCACCTATCTGTCTGGAACTTATTTAATAGTACCTGCAGAGAAGCAAAATTTACAACCCAGCCCTCTGAAAAACATGATTAAGCCTTTATAAAAATATGCTAATACAAATATATATTTAATAATATATTTTATTAAAAAAATAATTCAAAGTTATGGAAAAATAAAACTTAGAGGAGGATACCCCTGGATGTAGCCACAAAAGCTACATACCACTATCACCACAAGCTATACCACAGGTCTTATCACTTCATTGAGCTATCAAAATATTAGGAACATATTGTAAAGAATTCCAACAAATGCTCTTCATGTTCTTTTGTTTGGCAAGTGACATTACCCTCTCTCCAGCTTGTTGTTAGGACAGCAAATTACCAGACACCCTAAAGAATGCAACAGTCTCGCCAAACCTAGGAAAAAACCACTCTTAACACCAACAGCTCTGCCAACTACCACTCAGTTTCCAGCAACCTCTTCTTTGGCAGTATCCTTGTGAAAAGGGTGGCATCCAAAAGCTAGCAGCACACATCCCTTGCCAGCAACCTGGCTCCTTGATATACAGGCACTAGAACAAAACATGCTAGAAGAACAACCCTCCTGGCACTACCAATCCACATACTCCTGGCTGAGGACTGAAAACAAACCTCAGAGTGGATATCCCCCAGGGTTCTGACAGAAGTGACTGTCTGGCTCTAATAATAAGAATCGTGTGAAGTTTAGTAAGAAAGAATAGGACAGTAGTGGTTTTCCCAGAGAAGCTGAATGGCATGCAACTCCTTCTCATTCTCCTGCACAGCCCCAGAAGTCCTGTATTCTGCTATCCCACAAACCACAGCACTTTCACCTTGCCAGTTTAACTCCAAAACAGTATTACACAGGGAAGCTGAACAAAGCTAGAAGGTCATCCTCCAACAGATGACATTCAATTATCCTTCTGTCTCTGCTTAAATGAAAGGTTTCAAGGGAACCAAGGCACAGCTTCTATTTTCTGCCCCCACTTGGCAGCAGACAAAGGGATAATACTGGCTGCAGTGACACCAAATCATGAGAAAGTTCTGTGCTCAGTTTTTAAGCATAAAGTTTCATGATGTTTCAGAGTGATCTGCTTTCTACATCCCTTCAACTTCTGAGACAGTGGAGTTTGTCAAACATTACATCTTGACCCATAAGTCTGCCCACAAGAAAGCCTATGCAGCTTGTCTGCTGCCTGCCCAAGGCTCTGTTACTGGCAACAAGATCAGTCCTTACTGGAGGTAAGGCTGAGGGCTGGGGGGACTGGCTCACTATAGGGTGTGATCCTCACTAGTAAAACACATACTGCCACCTTCCTACTCCAAATGCTAAATGGCACTTCAAAACCAGAATTTTAAAATATGCTGAAGGAGAGTTGATTCTGCCTTCAGCTTCCCAAACCCAGAAGCTACAAAAAAGTCCTTCAAAATCACAAGTGATAAGGTAATGTGCTTGGCTTTTCTTGCACTTTTAGGGATGTTCTAAAAGCAAATAAATTTTCTATGGTTGAATGGTCCAAGTTTCAAAAACAGTAATTATCCATAGAGAAATTTTCATATTTATTTTATGAGTCAATTTGCTTCTTTGGGTTTTTAAACCACTAATCTACATATTTGTGGGCATGTATTTAGTAGAAAAATAAAATTTCACTCTCAAAATCCCACACAGTTTGGAAAGAAATAGCATCAAAGTCTCCAACTGAAACTGATAACAAGCCTGCATGATCCCTTAAAGAAAAAAAAATCGCTTGCATTGGAGCTTAGAATGATATTATTTGACTTATTCTGTCCTCTTACCTCTAAAATACATCTGCTATCTTCAAGTATACATATCTGGGGTTAATGTTACAGGAATATGACTTTATGTATAACAATCTTTGATGGTTCTCCCACTTTTGGATATTCACAGGCAATACACATGACATATTTCACAAATAGAGAATTCTTTGATGATAAGCATATTATAAAATGGTACAACCACAAAGCAGACTGTTTATCCTAATGTTGTAACGGATCCAGAAAATATACATGTATATGTTAGCTGCCCAGCAACACAAAATTACATCTTGGTCAGAATACGGTTCATTTCTTATTTGGAAGATCAAACTGAGTCAGTTGCAACTTGTTTCAAATACACGTATCTTCTGAGAGCTAAACTGAGAAGATACAATGTGATGATGGTGGGTAGAGTCACTCCTTGGTCATTAAGAAGTGATAGTGTGTCTGTCACAATTGTTTGTCTTAGTCTGATAAAATTCATAACGTGGCAAAGGTTTACAAGATTTACTAGCACAGCCCAATTGATTAGAAGGACAGGCTCATAAAAATTCAAGGAACCTTTTGTCTAAACAGACTGTAATGGCAAAAATTGGGTTTGATTTTCTCCTGTGTTTTTATTTTAAAAGAATCCTTGAAAGGACCATTTACACTAACATCTCTCTCAAAGGAATATCAAGTGTCACCAGCCATGATGCATTAACATGTTCAAAGACTGCTCTGAGCTGATGCCAAAAAATAATTTTAAATTAACACATTTTTATTTTATAAAGCACATATGAAAAGTAAAAAAGCTGGTAGTGTAGTCACAGATTTTAAACATAGGTCAATTTTCTTTTGCCTCAGATGAAAGAAAACTAATAGTATTGGAAGACTTTTATAAAAATAAAGTTATTTTGGATCTTGTTTCTTTACTCCCACCTCCTTGCCCATCCCCACTTAGAAAATTCTTAAACACATGAGATGAAAGTAAAACTCCTTAGATAAAATTAATATTGATGAAATAGCAATTAAGGCACTGCCAGTTTAGAGGAACTAAAGTATCACAATTTATCCTGATTATTTTTACCAGCGCAAGATATGTTGCTGAATAATTAAACTCTCTTTAGCCATTATCAGTAGTATCATTGTTCTCAAACAATGTTAGATGCACATGTTCTGGAACTTATATTTACCTGGTGGATTCTTGGCAGGATCATTGTGGCTTGGACTTCCTGGTTGCCCAGAATCTATAAAGAAATGAAAGAAATGTTTTAATAATTTGTTTTGCAAGTATCTCGCAATCTTTTAATACCCTCTATTAACAATTAAACTAATGCTTTACTTTATTCTTTAAAGGTCATTTCCCTGACTTTCTATGTGACGCATTATTGAACAAACACTCTACCTGTAAGCTATTTTATGCAGAGGTAGAAACATTGTGAAAGATGCAATGATCCTCATAAGAGGAACTTGTAGATCACTGAATAAGGACAAGAGAGTCATTCAGTTAAATACTAAAGTTGTAAGCACATTTTACAAGGGTACCTTTTCATTCCTTTTCCCACCATCCCCCAAATATAATATTGCATAATGAGCAAAGCAGAGGTAACTTCTTCTCAGGCAATGACCAGAGAGACACACTGGATCAGGCAATTAGTGGTGCTTGCGGTGATGAGGCTTTTTGCTTTAGCTTCTCCTTAAAGCACAAAGGCCTACATTGCTTCCACAGACTCATGACTGCAATGAGGATATGACAGTCTGTTTAAATACAATATGGTCTTTGTGCTCCTAGCCCGTGAGAACTGCTGTTGTGAAATTAAGATTATGTAACGTAAAAACTAACAAAACTCAAATACTGTAGACTTCAAAGTGTGTTTTTCTGCGCCTCCATGCATGCACCTATTGAATCAAAATCAGAATGTAATTTCATGTTAATACACTAAATAATAAATTATATCCTTATTCATAAAGACAGTTGCTTTTAAATATATCTACTTTTCACTGTATTCCCACATCAATAGTACAACAAAAACCTTCTCCACTGCAAGAAATAAAGATATAAAAAACAAAACATGCAGAGAAGAAGAAAATAAATTAGGCATCACCATTTTTTCTACATACAGGCTGGTTTTGGAGCTGTTTTAGAGTCTGAATAAAAAATAACAATTTTTTTAAATGTAGTGATGCTATTAATAGCATAAGATCACCAAAAGATTGCATCATAGCACCATAGAAACTGTTACCACCAAATCAGTTCCAGTTGGATGTAGAGTTGTTGAATGCATTGCTGCTTACAGTGCCCATATTAAAGAATAAACTTTATAGTAAAGAAGAAAAGTGCATATCAACAAATATTTTTCCTTCAATTACCATTACTTCTTCTTATAGCTGATGTGCTCCACATCTTAGAATGAGAGATTCCCTCTACCTGCTACAAGAAGTTCATTTAATTCTGTTGCTACCCATTATGCATCTTCATAGACATGCCTTGACTCACATGTCTGTCAAACTCTTTAACTTAGCACAAGCTTGATTCTACAGAAGATTTTAACTGAGATGGAAGTCCTTTTCACAGCTCAGGTTCTACTAAGTTGATCTAAATGGCAGTTATCCCAAAATGTATACACCTGGGTAGCTACCTGAGTACTGGAATTCCAAGGCACATGTGAAACGCAGTTCCAATGGTGTTAAAAAAAACCAACTAACTTTTCCAAAACTGAATTAAATCACTCTTGTGCACAATTAAATGCACATTGAATAGGGAATTTCCCATGAAATTTCATTTATCTTCTTCAGCCTTGGGCAGGAAACATGCAGGGCAAGACTATGCGTTGGACTCTGCCCTTACCGTGGCTTGGCACCTGGGTACCCTTAGGTGTCCCATTGTGCAGCACAGTATGCAGCCATTCAGTCTGTTTCTCTGCATGATGTGATACTTCCCTTAAAATAATTAAATCAAGTTAATTTAAAAACTTAATCAGCTACAAGAAATGCTAAGAGTCTAATGTTTCTCCACATATGGACCAATTTGGGGAGAATCATCCTTTTTCCCGTGTGAATTAGAATGTTCTTCTAATAGACATTCTTTGACTCTGCAAACCATACATATCACTATTTAAATTCAAATTATAAGAGAGGATTAATGTTACACAGCAATGTCCAAGTGTAAAACTACAGCAGATATGTGGCTAAATGAACTGTCATTTTGGTAGTAGATAAAACCAATAAAGCTTGAACAACATAGCTTCAGGATCACAGAGATTTGAAACTGAATTAATGAGACCTACCAGAAAATAACTTTTGAAGTTTTCTCCTGTCAAAATTCATTTTAAAAAATGACAAAGTGAAATAATTTTTCAGATCTTGCACAGAAATTTGCCTTTACTTCTAGTTTCTGTATTCAGGATTTAAAGATTAATGGAAGTTTGAACAATTTTTATTATAGTAGGAAATATAGCAAAGAATTTTCTAATTGTAGGGATAAGCAGTTGGCTATTTATTATAATTTTCCAATCAGCCTTAGCTTTGGGTTTTGTTAACTACTCAGTAATCATGGCTTTTATGTATTGATTCTCAATCTGTGTCTTTTGAGATCTCAATGAGATTTGGAGAATACTGAGGAAGAATATGAGAAGAAACTTATCTAAGCCTTCACTAAAAATCAAAGACTTTTATTCTGTATGAGAGCATCAAGCTATGGAACTCTGCACTTAAAACACAGAAAAGCATCTGATCCTCAAGATTAAAGACGCATAGTTGAGATGGCCTGTGATGATCCAAGTCTCCTACCAATGTCAGTAATTACAAAGCACTCTTCTGTTTTGATTGGATGCAAATAGCTTTGCAAAGTACAAAAGAATCATGGTCATTATAGGATTAAATTATATAACTGCATATAAACAGAACACTGAATGAACAGCTACATTGGAGCAATGCTCTTCTAAAAGAGGGAGTAAGAAGCATTTTTGGGAAGCCACAGAAGCTACAGAAGTAAAAGACTTGTTAAGACACTTTAAATCATTCTTTGTCCTCATCTGTACAAGACCACTAATTAACAACATGAGCCCTTTCTTCCAGGAAGGGGAGATGGAGAAAGACATAAAACAAATTCACTGTCTGTCTAGCTGAATTTGCATTCAATTGTCCCAGCAAATAACTCTTACGCATGAAAAAAAATTTAAAAATTAAAAAAAAAACTAACCAACAATCAAAAGCAAAAGAAATCAAACCACCAAAAGAAAACCCAAGCTAGAAGCTGGATAAAAATATACTTAACAAGAAGAAAATCAAATCCCATCATGTTTATGCAATGAAACTGAAATTTTTGTAATTTTCATTTAGGTAGCTCCCAACTGTAAGTTCTCTTAGTTTTGTTGCTGTTGTTGTTGTTGTTGTAGTGGTTGATAGGGAGCAAAATGTCTCCTACACATACCATTTCCCCAAAATGGCTTTCATGTGCACCTCACAGCTACAGTAGCACATCTTCTACTCTGTTTTTCTTGGTGCTGACTGATAAAACTTATCTTTGATAACTTATTGCCCCATGGATGAACAACTCATATGAAACAGATTCAAGCCAGACTTTACTTTTAACAGGTCATGTAACCCTGATGCCCTTTATGTATAACTTATCATGATTTAGCACAGCTATCTCCAAGATATTCAAACTCTATATCAAACTACTCTTACTTCTGGGAGACTGTATGAAAGGATGAGACAAGAAGCTGACATATATTTAATACTTAATTTTTTTCCTATCTTTTCATTTCCAGGGGTTGATCACAATGAGCATCTGTGAGTGCAGGTAACTCCCAGTGCAGCCAGAGTTGAGACTAACTGACTGCTGAGGCCTGCTTCAAGTGAAAAAATAAGCTTCCATTTTCCCTGTGGTACACTAGGAAAAGTCTTGGCTTCATAAGACAGAGGAAAATTTTAAAAAGCTGTGTCCATAGAGTCCATTTAGCAAAGGATGAGATCCTCTCTCCCTTTGAGCCACATTGTCCTTGACAAGCAGGAAGGACACCCATGCCAGCAAAGACAAACAAGTCACATTGTTGCTCACCAGCTTCCTGAAGGGTTTTTAGTACTGCTCATCTCAATAAAACAACCTTTCACTTTTTAGCTGATATGATACTCTCTTTAAAAAGTAAGCTGCTATACCTTCCTTATGCCCCATCCTGTACAAGAAATTTTGGTTTTAAGGCTCTCTGTTAGAGCATAATACCATAGGCACTGAAAACAAGTAGCAGCAGAATGTGTTAAAATCTGAAGATATTTTCTAAAGCCATGTCTTGGGGAAATAAGTAGATTGTCCACAGGCATCACACTAATGAAATTAAATTGCTCAGTGGTTTCAGTGAACACATTTCTATTCGCCACAGGCTATGAGGACAGCCTTTAATCAGCCTCAGCTGATCTCAGCTGATAGACACTAATTTAATCATTCACCACCAGGTAAATACATCCTTGCTCTTTGTCTCTGACTTTGGTGTGAGGGATAAGGAACCACAGAGATGTGGCCATCACCAAACCAGGTATGACGTTGTCCAAACTTTCACATTCATATACAGCACTTGACAGCTGACAGAGTCACTATCATGAACAAGAATCACAACAACCTTCCAGAATGTCAGGATTACTTCACCATCTGACATCACTTGACACAAATGTTGTACCCCTGAAAATCACAAGATCACAGGTTACCATAGTGTGGTAGAGACCTCGAATGTCTTCAATCTCAGCGCCTGCTTGATCTCTCAAAGACTCTCAGAACATCCACAGCAAAGAAAAGTAAGACATCTTCCTCTTCTCCAAAACAAATAACATGAGCCACAAAAATCCATAAAACAAAGAGATAACTAATTTATCCCTGTACTTTAAATCATTACCTTGACTTATAATTACTCTAATTTTACTACATAACTACCTTTTACTGCCTACACTATTTTACCTTGACAAAGCAACTGATTGGTTTGATAAACTTCCCAAACAATTGTAACAATTTCATTTTGAAAAGCAGTGTCTTTCTTAGTGTAGTCTTTCTCTATCAGACAATAGAGACCATCTGTACTATTTTAGTAGCATTATTCACACCAATTCTTGTCATAGAACAGGTAAAAGTGGTTTGATGCATTATCCACTGAAAAGTGGATAGCATCCACTGAAAGGCTGCTACCAACATGGAAATGCTACTGTCACCCTTGTTTTCGCAAGTGTAATAACTTGAGGGGGGGATTTATTTTTCACA